ATCTCCAGCCCTCTTCATGGGCCTACAGGCCCTCCTCCTCATTGGAAACCACCCAGTCCTCTTACTTTCTCAGTGACAAGCTTTCTCTGCCACCACACCCCTCCACCCTCCTATGTAGAGCCTCCTATACTTGGGTTTTCCCCCCAGGCTTTCTGACCTGGGAGTTACTTTTTTTAAAAAGATTTATTTATTAATTATATATATAGAATTATGCATCTATGTCTGCCTACACACCAGATCCCATTATAGATGACTGTGAGCCACCATGTGGTTGCTGGGACTTGAACTCAGGACCTCTGGAAGAGCAGTCAGTGCTCTTAACCTCTGAGCCATCTCTCCAGCCCATGACCTGGGAGTTTCAACTCTGTGCCTCCCAATCATCGAGTCACAAGACACATAAACTTAAACTCACTAACGTGTCTCATATAACGTGAACCCCACATCTCCTGTCTCAAGGATAAAGACATCACGTGCCTCAAAGCTCCTCCCTCAAGGCCCCCATCAACTTGCATACATTCTCTTTATCTTCACCTGGTAAGCACTAACTCACCCCTCTAACCCCTATGGGCCAGCAGGACACTCATCCAACCTTATCAAACCTTCCTCATCCACAGGGCACTGAAGTGTTTCCTATGCTGGGCTCTGTGCTGAGGGACCCCAAGTTCTTCTCCAACCCCAAAGACTTCAACCCAAAGCACTTTCTGGATGACAAGGGCCAGTTTAAGAAGAATGATGCATTTGTACCCTTTTCCGTAGGTAAGAGGTCACTGTCTAGTGCCAGGCCACTGCTCACACCAACAAAGATACCTCATCCATAGTGCGCCTCTGACACAACCACGTATCTCTCCATCTGGGAAGATCCTCTTGGATCGAACCCTCAGCCAATCAGCTGCAACGTGCATAATTCCCAAGCGCCACGTATCTGAACCCTGGAGGAGTGGTGGTCAAACTGTAGTGATTGATGAAGGGAAATGAAAGCTCAGACTAAGTCAGGGGTCTTTCTCAGGTCACACAACCAATTCTTAGAAAGGGTGTGGCAACTGGATGAAGTGGCACACGCCTTTAATCCCAGCACTCGGGAGACAGAGGCAGGAGGATCTCTGTGAGTTCGAGGCCAGCATGATCTACAGAGAGAGTCCCAGGACAGCCAGGGCTACACAGAGAAACCCTGTCTCAAAAGAAAAGAGAGGAAAAGAAAAGAAAGGGATCGGGTAGAAGAAAGGAAGGAAGGAAGAAAGAAAGAAAGAAAGAAAGAAAGAAAGAAAGAAAGAAGAGAGAAAGAGGAAGGGATATGACTGCCATGCAGTCATATTGGAGAGTGCTTCTGTAGGAAGGGAATCCACATTTCTCATTGTTACAACCTGGCGTGGACCAATCCTCCACAAGTATGAGGGAAACTGAGGCTCAGAGATTAGAGCCTTCTTTAAAGGTCTCAGCCCTTCCTCCCTTGGAGAAAACAGCCAGGGATTTGGTCTGGGGCTGAGGGCAAGAACTGGCTTCACCTTCCCCTGTCTCCTCTCTTTAGGAAAGCGGTACTGCTTTGGCGAAGGACTGGCTAGGATGGAGCTCTTTCTCTTCCTCACGAACATCCTGCAGAATTTCCACCTCAGATCCCCGCAGGCACCCCAGGACATCGACGTGTCCCCTAGACTCGTGGGCTTTGCCACGATCCCCCCAAACTACACCATGAGTTTCTTGTCCCGTTGAGCCAGGGCTGCATGAGGGTAAAGGGAAGGATGGAGACCAGGCTAGCGGGGGGTTGGGACTTAGAAGGGGGCAGAGGGACAGGAGAGACAGAGGACATGAATCGACTTGGTGAAGAGAGACTGGCATTTCAAGGTAGGGAGAGAGAAAGGAGAAGTGTATACTACGTTGTGAATAGTAATAACGATAATAATAAATTAGACATTATTTATAGAATAAGTATTCTTTTGTCAAGTTCATGCTAACAGGTCTCGTGGTCTCACTTAACACTCACAAATGCACGGGAAGGGAAGAGAGTTCGTGTCCCTTTTACTAGTGAGGCACGCTCTTGACCTTATGATGTTTCCTTAGTCTAAGTTTACTGAAGCCTCGCGGATTCCAAGAGCTCAGTAGTACTTGGACGAATATCTGTGTGCATTGGCCTTGGGCAGGTTTTCAAACGTCACCCCACTTTATATAAAACAACGAGAGCTCAGTCTGTTGTTGCCACACCATCCTGCCCAGAGGTATCCCAGAGCTTCAGGTGGGCGGCCAACCTGGCTTCGCCGTTCACCTCGCCCACACTTTGATCCGCTTTCGTAGAACTGATTGCCAGGGCAACACCACCCAGGCCTTGTTAGCTTCAGTCAATGTGTGGGACTCAAAATCCATCTGGAGAACTGGAATCGGGCCTCTTAACGAGGTCCGCGGTAGAGAAAGACACTTGCACATTCCACGGGTGCATGCTGATTCGTGGATGTGCGTGTAAGCGTGCGTTTCGGGGTTTCCTCCGGATGCGCGTGAGCATCCACGCGTTGGTTTAAGGGCCAGTTAAGAGTGTTAACACAAAAAGCCTATGCTCCGGTGGCACTAGTATAAACCCGATGAGCTCATAGCAGAGCAATGCACAGTCTCAACCGCAGTGGGTACATCAACTGGGCATCTCTTCGTGTTTTTATGACGTCAGTGATCAAGCCGACTCAAGACAGAGGGGGTGGGTATCAGGGCATCCAGATAACATCATTGGGAACTGTATCGC